TCCTTTGTGGATGCGCCCTAAGACCACATTGGCTTAGTTTTTTTTGTTTTGTTAGTTTTACCTTTAGATAGTTAGTTTCACTTTTAGAAACCTTTGTGGGAGGAATGTATGTGTTTTCAAGCAAGTTTGTTATAAACCTACCCACCTTAAAAGATTATTAATTACCTGGAAACATTTGAATCTGAAATTTATTTAACTTTTTCTTTTCCTATTTTTTGAAATATGAAAATCTTATAATATAAAAATATTATAGGTTGGGTGTATACAACACCACACAAGAGTTCGTAATTATTTATGCAATTCCATCTTTCTTACTATGTAACCTATTATTTTCCAAATATAACCAACCACTATAATAATGACATTTAAAAAAAAGAAAAAGCTGCATTGTTATCTTTCAGAATTCGAATGCATAATGCATTTTAAATTCTAGTCATTTCAAAAGAAAATACCTCGAGAGTTAATGACATCATTTCTTCAAAGCAAATGACATTGATGCTGTTCCTTGTGCTTGTTTGTATAGCCTTAATCCTAATCTTAACATGAATCAATATGAAGTTGCAATCTTAGATAATAGGCTCCTATAGCAAACTGTTTTAATGCTTCCATTCTTCATCAACGAATACACCACTTTAATTTATTTATTTTAATAAGGAAATGGTAGTCCCTTTCATTTTCTCTTTCACTCTCTCACCCCTGAATATAAATGATACATTCAAGTAGAATGGCTGCCTATTTACTCCAGACTTCAGCAACAACAAACATGCAGCCGATTGCTTGAATGGTAGATGTCCAAAAATGATAAAACTTTTTGAGTAGAATCCAATGTACACTTACTTAAACGTAATTTCTATCAAGTTCAAAGGTAAGCCCATTGTATAGATAGTATGTGTACATTGGACTGCAGTCTACAAGCACCACCCAAATTTACCCAGAAACTAAGGACTCATTAAATAAAATTTGCTTTCAAATAAAAACTGGATTACATAATTTAAAAAGTATCGTTCTAACCATAGGACTACATCAGTTCTGAATAAGAGTAACACAGTTCTTGACAGGATTTGACTCAATTACTCTTTTTCTTGGTCAGGAATAATGTCATTATTTCTCCACCCACTCTCGCTCAAAGCAGACTGTTGTTTTACCTAAGCATCTTGGTAGTGGTAATCCCAAACTACAACCTTTCTTGCCACGGTTCTTAAGTGAATCATTGCAGTTAAGTTAGTAAATTAATCTGATTAGAACTAAATTCTCAACTGAACTAGATCCTCAACTCACATACAAGGTATAAATATTGCTTGGTAACTGCCTAGGATATGCCCAAATAACCCCTTTGGGGATAATTCCCATTTCCCCAGTTTTAAGAACTACTTGGAGATAATGTTTTTAAAATCTTTTCTGAATTGGGAAAACCCTGCATACATAAAGGTTTATTTAGGGAAATGGTACATTAACATTATTTTACTACTATGTAGTTTTTAAGTCAGCAATATTTCAAACTTGTAATCTTCTATACACAGAACACTATCTGAAAAATGCAGTCCATCCTCCAACGTTTGGATCTCAAAATGTGTTACGTGTAGTCCTCGACTCATAACCACAATTGAGCCCAAATTTCTGTTGATAAGTGAGACAGTTGTTAAGTGAATTTTACCTCATATTACAACCTTTCTTGCCACAATTGTTAAGTGAATCACTGCAGTTGTTAAGTCAGTAAATGAATCTGACTTCCCCATTGACTTTGCTTCTCAGGAGGTCACCAAAGGTAATCACATGATCTCAGGATGCTGCAACTGTCATAAATATGAACCAGTTGTCAAACATGAATTTTGATCATGTAAATATATGGATGCAGCAATGGTCTTAAGTGTGAAAAACAGTCATAAGTAACTTTTTTCTGTGCCGTTGTAAATTTGAACAGTCACTAAATGAACTGTTGTAAGTTGAGAACTACCTTGCTTAATTGCAATTGTTAATATGACAGAAGAGGAATGTTATTAAAACATAACAAAAGTAACTATAGTAACTATATTTAACTTTAATTATAGATAGATATAAATACATGTTGTGTTTTGATCTGGCCCCATCCATTACTTCTTTTGAAGTTGTATCTCAGCTAACCCAGAATAAGCTCTTCGCTCATAATTGTAGGTTGAAATAATACATCTGATGGAAGCAAGGCCATGCAATATTTCTGAATTAGAAGTTTAGGATCAGGTGAAAAATTAGCCTAAGGATGCAAGCAGGGAAGGCATAGAAAAACTGCTTGTTTTTTGATGAGTGATTTTGGAATTTCTCCTGCTAAAAGCACTGTTTTAAAAACAATGTTTTTGAAGATGCCTCTGCAGATCTAGATGAGCTCACAGATACTGTAACATCATATGTTAGCTTCTGCGAAGACTTATGTGTACCAACAAGGAACCTGCAAATATATAGTAACAATAAACCTTGGTTCACAGCTAAACTTAAGCAGCTACATCGTTCCAAAGAGGAAGCCTACAGAAAAGGTGACAGAATATACAACCAGGCCAGAAACATATTAACAAGAGAGATCAGAGCAGCAAAAAGAAGCTACTCTGAAAAGTTAAAGAATCAGTTCTCAACAAATGAACCAGCAAACATGTGGAAAACTCTTAAAAACATCACTGGCTTCAGCAAACCTCCTTCCCAGGCAGAAGGAAATCAACAACCAACAGATGACCTGAATGTGTTTTACTGCACGTTTGAAAAGAAACTACAGCCACCTATCTCTACAACCCACATCTCAAACACATCAACAACAGCCAAGCCTCCTACAACTGGCCCCAATCGTTTGGGCTTACAACCTCTGGTGATCACAGAAAAAGAAGTGCAAGATCTATTACACAGACAGAAGCCAGGAAAAGCACCAGGGCCAGACAAGATAACCTTCTTGCTTAAAAGTCTGTGCTGACCAATTGGGCCCCATCTTCACCCGAATCTTCAATAGATCACTAGAAATGTGCTATGTTCCTTCCTGCTTCAAACGTTCTACCATCATCCCAGTGCCAAAGAAGCCCTCCATCAAGGAACTGAATGACTACAGACCAGTTGCTCTAACATCTGTAGTTATGCAAATCTTTGAAAGGCTTGTGCTGTCCCACCTGAAAACCATCACGGATCCGCTGTTAGATCCCATGCAGTTTGCATACCAAGCAAATAGATCGATAGATGATGCTGTTAACATGGCTCTGCATTACATCCTACAACACCTTGAATCTCCAAATACCTACGCAAGGGTCCTCTTTGTAGACTTCAGTTTAGCATTCAATACCATCTTTCCAGACACTCTGATTTTGTCTGTAGTACCTCTTATGTAGGGCAGGACAGCTGTTCCATAGGTCTGTCCTGCCCTACATAAGAGGTACTACAGACAAAATCAGTAAGATACTACACAGGCATCACATCAAGACTGCCTTCAAAACAGACAGAAAAATAGCAGCCATCCTAAGAAACCCCAAAGATAAAATTGACCTGGAAAACCAAAGCATATACGAAGTCCCCTGTGCATCATGCCCAGCAACATACATTGGACAGACCAATAGAAGAATAAGTACCCGCCTAGATGAACATAAAAATGCAGTAAAAAAAATGCAGTAAAAAAGCTGGAACACACTTCCTCACTAGTCCAACACATGAAAGCCACAGGTCATAGCATCAACTTCAATGGCACCAAAACCCTAGCCACTATAGAAAACCCCAGCTACAGAATTATCAGAGAAGCCATAGAGATTGAAAAAAGACCTGAAAGCATGAATAGAAGAGATGACTCCACCAGACTGTCAATTATCTGGAAGCCTGCACTCTCAAACAAAAAAATCTCCACACCACAAGCCAGGCAAACACCTGGGCACAAACAGATTCCCCCTGATACCTCCAGCTCAAACACACCCCAACCAGGCACCCAGATGAAACTTAGCTTCCTAACAAATGATAGCTGTCCGTAAAAGCCTCCAATACAGGAAACACAATGTTGCCAGCCAATCAAGACAAAAAAAAGCTACAAAACAGACAGAAGATATTAGAAACACCAATCAAGCAGAACACAGCAAACTCCAAGACCAATAAACACAGACCAAGACTCCCAACCAATCAGGATGAAGAAAAAACCATTCTGGCACAGCAGATGGCTAGCACCAAATTTAAAACAGAAACGGCTGTGAAAGTCTGACTCACAAACGAACACAATACAGAAAGAAGCCTGATGATGGCGGATGAGATTCTGCCGAAACATTGCTACAACTTTAAAAGCATAACTACAATGACATGGGAAAATACCTGAACAAAGCTGAATGCCATACATGTAAGTACCCGCGAAAACTTAAGAAAATATATATATATATATATATGATAGATATATGTAAACATATACAAAGCCACACAAATTAGACATCATTCTTTCCCTTTTCTTGAACATAGATTATTCCTTGTAGAACTTAATCAAGATAAGGTTCAAAGTTTTCATACTAAAACACATCAAAGCAAGGAAAATTCTCAAACAGATGTCCAATATTTTTAAAATAAATTTCATTTGCCCTTGTTTTGTCAGATGTTAATTTGTGAATAAATAAAAAATATGTGGAAATTTAAAGTGCTAGTCATCATCCTGCCATTTCTATCTTATGCCATGATTAGAGAGATTTTAATTTTGGGCATTATGTCTAACTCAAAATATTTTTTAAATAAATACTCAGGCCAAATCCATTTATTTCTAAAGTACACCAAGTCTACAATCCCTACTGCTCATATTTATGCATAGATTATAGAGTTTCAATTTTAAAATAATTATTATGTAAGAAAAAAAATCTTTAAAAAAAAGCTGTGAAATATCAAGGCAAATTACCATTGTATAAATACAAATGGTAAGGCAACAGTTTCAAAGATATCTTACTGGTACTGTATTACTGATATTGGTACTGTTAGATTACAGCATCCAAAATAAGTCAAGACCTCAGATATTTCCCAGCTATATAAGAACTTACCTTCTCCAACAATGCATTTTGCCATAATCTAAATATGTTGAGGTAGGTTCGGTCTCTAGCACTGAAGGAAGTGAAGAAAAACTGCAGAACAAAATGTTAATTTGCATGAAAATTATTGAAAGTAATCTACAAGTCAGTCAACCCTATTTCAAATAAAAATATATTAAGACAGAGGCAAATGATTTTTAGAAATTTCTTAAGAAGGATTAAATTATACAGTCTTCAGCCATTTATCATCCTATACATATTTTCTTAGATAAAAGTTTCATTAAGTTCAGTCAGGCTTACTATTATTTATTCAATCTGTTTGTTTGCCTTTATAGCTACAGGGTATTTACTCCCAAGCAAATGGGTATGCTCCAAATTTATATTCACACTACCATACAAGTAAGTCTCAATAAACTTAATAGGTTCATGAGATCCAAATGGGTATATAAAAGATATATAGTCTTTTATAGAGATAGATAGACAGAATAGATAGACAGAATAGATAGATATAGTAGATAGATAGATAGATAGATAGATAGATAGATAGATAGATAGATAGATATAGTCAAGTTCTAATGTGATTTGCAAATTATTACTATCATTATTTATCAATTTATTTGCTGCCATTGCCCAGCAATGCTAAATAATAATATTTTAAAATTCAAAACTTTCCTTTCCAGGTGCAACATAATAAAGCATTTTTAGCTCTTACATGCACATGTCCATTCACATATTCTAAAAGCCTAGATCAGTGGTGGCCAACCTTTTTTGGCCCCCGTGCCAATAATTGCACGTGCGCTCGCTTGCGCGTGGTCGCATGCCAGCACCCAGAATGTGCTGCCCCCCACGCCCCTTGCATGCACGCACATCCCCTCTTGTGCAGCGCGCATCTGCACGCAATTCCCCCCTTGCACGCCATGCATCTGCGCATGCATGCATGATTCCCCCTTGCGCACCATGCGTTTTTGCCCAACAATCAGCTCTCATGCGGTGGCATGCGTGCGCATGCACAGTGGGGCTCTTCCAGGCGACCTCTCGTATGCCGGGGGAAATGGCTCTGCGTGCTAGATGCATTCCTGATTGAGACAGGAAGTGCCTCAACACAAAGTAGGCACTCATACATTCCCAAACATTACTTTATCCTTCTTCCTCCTCCTTTCCCCAAAGCAGCAACCCTCTTAGATGGGTTGAGCTGAGAGAGAGTGACTGGCCCAAGATCACCCAGCTGACTTTCATGCCTAATTCAGGACTCACATTCACTGTCTCCTGCTTTCTTAACAGCATCTTAACCCCACACCAAACTAGTTTTCTTTAGTTTAGTTTGGGACAGTCTTCTCCAGACTACAGACTCGAACATCCTTCATCAGACACATAGTACAGGTGGTTCTCAACTTACAGCAGTTCATTTAGTGACTGTTCAAAGTTACAATGGTTACAAACTAAAAAAGTGACTTATGGCCATTTTTCACACTTATGACTGTTGCAGCATCCCCATAGTCATGTGATCAAAATTCAGATGCTTGGCAACTGGCTCTCATTTATGATGGTTACGATGTCCTGGGATCATGCTATTTTGAGACCTTCTGACAAGCAAAGTCAATGGGGAAGCCAGATTCACTTAATCACCATGCTACTGACTTAACAATTGCAGTGATTCACTTATCAACTGTGGCAAGAAAAGTGGTAAAATGGAGCAAAATTCAGTTAACAACAGTGTCACTTAGCAACAGAAAGGTTTCGTTCAATTGTGGTAATAACTCAGGCACTACCTGTAATGGCCAAATTACAGTAATGGGAACTTGTAGACCTATAATTTTGGAGAATTTGATGAGAAGAAAAAGATAATTTGGTATAGTGGTTAAGTCACCAGGCTAGAACCCAGGAGACCATGATTCTAGTTCAGCCTTAGGCACAAAGACAGCTGGTTACCTTGGGCCATTCATCCCAAAGAAGGAGACAATAGCAAGCCGAAAATATTGTAAGAAAACTTCTCTGACTAGTCTAGGCAGTCATTAGGAATCAACACTAACTTGAAGGCATATGCATACACATACTCAGTAGGAAAGCTAACTAACAAGAAAGACTGGCTTTGAACCAGAAGGGAGGGAGGGAAGGAGAGAGGGAGGAAGGAAGGAAGGAAGGAAAAATGTCTCCATTAAACAGAGATACAAGTAAGAATACTGTACCTTCTCCCCTTCTGTAGCAATTTGGATAGCATTTGGAATAAGCCGAGCTGTTTTCTCTTTTGTCATGAAGGTTATGTCCTTCAAAGCGATAGAAATCTGAAGTTTGAAATACACATAAAATAAGGCATCTAAAAGCTAATGCTGAAACTACAGAAACAAAATACTAAAATGACTATAATTAAAGCAAAGGTTTTCACATGTTTTCATCTAATTCAGCATTACTATTCAAATCAAAACCCTTCCTTTAAACAAATTGGAAGAGTAGAGTTAAAACAGCCTAAACAGATTGTGTTTCTTTTTTTTCTTATGAAAACTGTACAAACTAAGATAGAAAACCTATCATAAAAATGTAAACTTAAAATTCTTAGTGTGAAAATATACTACCTGTACCAATACTCTCTGTACATATGTATCAGTGGGATTCAAATTTTTTTTTACTACCGGTTCTGTGGGCGTGGCTTGGTGGGCGTGGCAGGGGAAGGATACTGTAAAATCTCCAGTCAGCAGTAGCATTTGTCAGTTCTCCAAACTACTCAAAATATCTGGTACTGGTTCTCCAGAACTGGTCAGAACCTGCTGAATACCACCTCTGATATGTATGAATGTGTATAAGTATTTATGTGTACATAAAAATATACACAATGTATTTTGGACACACACATTTCTTAAAGTACACAGGTCTTACCATAGTCTCCCATCTGAAGATATTACTGTAGAAACAGATCCAGTTTTCAGAGAGATATAAGCGTCCTTGAAGGAGGATATCTTTTTGGAGGGCACAGGCATAATCTAAAGAAAAACATTAAATTTTTATAACATTTTAAAAGTGTAACCAAACACTTAATTAAGTTAATCAATAATTATTTTTATTCATTATTTATTTGTTGACTATTTTCGTACATTGCCTATACATTTTATTTTGAACAGCTTCAAATATAGATCCCTGATTTTTACATGCATCTTAAAACATACCTTGATGTTAGCTTAAAGTCAAGATTGCCTAGGGACAAAACTAATTTTGAATGGAGAGCCTATAATGGCTGTGAACTCATTGGACATTATTATAATTTGCAATCTTCTCTGTCGTAACTAAGTTCAGGAGAAACTAGATTTTTTTACAGCAAATGGTGTGGTGCATACTATAATTGACTCTAATTATTCCAAAAAGGTGGCTTCACTTAAACTTCTCACTCCTTCCTAAGTTTGTTAATGAATTTAATTTTCTCACCTTCTATAAGCTATGGCACTTAGATATGTGCGTCTAAATTATTATCAAAAGCAATAAACTAAGCTTAAGAATTAAATTAACCCTCAAGAAAGCTCCCTAAATTTAACAATTACATCAATTTCAAGTACCTTTTCTCCGCTATATTAGAAAATACTATAAATATTAAGAAAAAGAGTTTTAAATTACAACTTTCAGCTTCTAAATTCTTGCTGTGTTATTGTTTAAGAAAATTAGTACTGTAAAACACGATTCAATGGATAAAGCCAAAGGATTAAAAATACACAGAGTAAGACAAAGATGCACACTTGCTTACATAATTTAATTACAATATTTGTATGAAATGGTTGCAGATGTAGTGGCTGGGAACATGAGTGTATACAGACTTTTGAATGCAAAAACATCATGCTGATTGAGATTTGGAATGATCTGCAGTCATGATTATATCATGTAGTTAGGAGCATAAATCTATCAAAAACCAACGTAGTTGTGTTTGACAGGGAAATGGAATGGGTAACTGCAAATTATATATAAATGGTGAAAAACCAAGCAAATAAATGAATGCATGTTTCTGGGAATATTTATTAAAGATGGAAAAATGCAAATGTTGGTAGAAACAGCATTAAAGGAAAATATTGGCCTATGTTGCTGGGAATGTAATAGGAATGAGTTGCTGTGTAAAACAAAAAGAGAAAGACTCTAGAATGAATTTGCCCTGAAAAAAAGTGGTTGAATACAAATATGAGTAAACCATGTGAAAACAAATGAAAGCAATGTATAGGTACGGTGGTTTTCAAGGATGGAAAGATATGGAAAAGTATAATGAATAGTGTTGGTATAAATAAGATGTACTTCTCTTTTCTTATCTCATATCTTTAATTTCTTTGTGGTTACTGCCTCCTATTTGTTTTGTACATGTTGCACAATGTCTTTAACCCATGATGAAAGTGTGTATATGTATATATGTATCTCTTGTGGTAGGTAGAATCTGTGTTTGGCTTCCATATTTTAAAAGTTCTAAAGTGGCATGTTAATCCATCTGTGTTAATATTGCTAGTTAAAAAATATCAGCTATAAAAGGAAGTTTTCTGACATTATATTTGGCATAGTTACTGTTATAAGTAAAACAGGACATCAAGCCTATTGTGAGTTTTAAAATTCAGAGTCAGGATTTTAACAAGTTGTGGATCCAGAATCATAACTCCTGTCTCCTTTTACCTGGGAGCTACACAGGTTTCATATTCTTTCTGTGCTGCAAGAGTTTATCAAAAAAGAAATTACTTCTGATCATTATACAAGTGTTAAGAGGAAGGACTGACTTCAGGGAATCCTAAGTTTTTCTTCTTGTTTCTAAAATGGCCACAGTTCTTTTTGTTCTTAGAACTTAGAATAACAGAGTTGGAAGGGACCTTGGAGGTCATCTAGTCCAACTCCCTGCTCGAGTAAGAGTCTATACCAAATATTAACCTCTACCTAGGATTGAGCTCACAGCCTTCTTGGAAATACTCTTAAAAATGAAAATAAATATTTACAAGTGCTAAGGAATTTCAGAGTATATTTCTCTCTTTAAAAAAAAAATCACCAGCAATAACCTCAGACTCTGCATTACATGATAAATGGCTAATGAGCTTGCTTGTGAAACTAGTTCAGATTCACAACACTCCAGACTGTCTGCTGTATCTGGTAGACTGCATACATTCTCAAAACACATTCACTTATCTTAAATAGAGAATTGTCATCATCAGTAGGGAGAGCGATATGCTTTAAATCATGTTTATAGTCAGATTCCATGAGTCTTTTTAACAAAAGGAATTCAAATTGTTGGGGTTTGTTTTTGATTTAAAAACAAGAGAAACTCTGAACCCAAGGCTGGACATCATGGAATTCATTTCTCCACAGCCTTAGAATTAGCTGACTGGCATTTGTAAGCGAGAAAGGGAAAACTAGGAACAGCAGAACCAGGGATACAACTCTTTCAAGAGTTACCGTATATACTCGAGTATAAGTCGACCCGAATATAAGCCGAGGCACCTAATTTTACACAAAAAACTGGGAAAACTTATTGACTCGAGTATAAGCCGAGGGTGGGAAATGCAGCAGCTACTGGTAAATTTCAAAAATAAAAATAATTAATTTGGGAAACGATCTCACTATCATGAAAGGTTTAATTGATTCACTAACCCAAAAGAAGAAGATGATGATGACAGCGGGAGGCAGGAGTCACTCTCTTCCCCTCCCTCGGAGGCCCCCTGAGTCAGGAGTCACTACCGCCGGCGCGGCCCCAGTCCCGCCGCCTCGGGAAGGGAAAGGCAAAGCGCTTTTTGCCTTTCCCTTCCCGGCTGGGGCTGTTGGGAGTCGCTGCCGCCGGAGGCCGCGGCTCCACACCATTTTTTTTTTCAGAGGGGAATCTGACTCGAGTATAAGCCGAGGGGGATTTTTTCAGCACAAAAATTGGGCTGAAAAACTAGGCTTATACTCGAGTATATACAGTATTTTTAAAGAAATATAAAAAGATTTGGTTAGGAATCTACAATTAGTCATTTGATTTATTTTGATACATCCACACTAGTTAATCTTTTATGGACTTTTGTCTTCTATCTCTATATAAATTGGGGGATAGAATACAGAGGATTATATTTTGAATTATGTTAATGAATATAGCTTTACAGACTAATATTTTCCTTGATAAAACTATAATTCTGTAAAATACGAAATCAAACAATAAGCAGTTTGTAACAGACTAGCACCATCCTGTGGTCTTTGAATAGCATTACATATTATTTTAAATTCTGTGTGTACTTCTAAGTTAACAAGTTGTTGCCTCTCTGTAAATTAATCAGACCTGAAAGGGTGTTTTCCTTAACTTTGAATATCTGAATTATGATATTTATAAATAAGACATTTACATAATTGACTTTTTCTAATTTCTTTTAATAATGATTGATTTTGTTTCTTTCTTGTAAAATTGGCTCATCTGCCATATCTGGGGAAGAAATGGGCTAATATCCTTGTTACATGCCTCAATTCTACAGAGTCAGAGGCACAAAAAAGGAAAATTTTCTTTTCCTTTTTAACTATAGTTCATATTAATAAATATTTACATGTCAGGTCCAAAACTAAGAATGATACATGGTGATTATTCCAAGCAGAGTTCAGACTGACCATTCTACTACGTGCATCTACAATATGATCTATGATTATTGAGGGAAGGAAGCTTCCTTCACCCTCTTTTTCTCACACATAACACCTGGACTGAGTTCTCTTACTCCTCTGGAATGCATCCCTTGCCTCCTGAATCAACCTCCTTATTTCATTTCGTCACATTACCTAAACTTTATATTGGAAAGTTCAATTATATTTTACTGCCTTTCTACTTAATAATGTAATTTTTCTTACCCACTACGAGCCTTTCCAAATCTGGCAGGTGTGAGAATTGTTTCTTGAATTCTTCATTACGATATTTGTAAGTAGAACTTGAGATCTGCAAAAATAATGAACTTTAAGAACAAATCCAACTTTCATTTGATTTACTAGAGACAATGCTACATTCTGAGTACTGCCAGGAAGGGTTATAGAAATTATTTTGGACTATCAGGGTTTTTTTTAGTTGATAATTTAGTGTTTTCTAATATCTTCTATTTTTTATTTATAGTATTGCTATTGAAAGATGATACAGAAAAAAGTTTCAAACATTGGTACAGACTAAACAAGATAATTAAGAGCATGCACTTATACATTCAAACACACATATAAAGGAAATAATCAATTTCCAATACTGCAAGAAAGATTCTTTCAAATCAAAGGCTATTTTATTCTTTTAACAGACTGATTTGGCCATTTTTCTTTGTATGTGGGGAAAAACCCAAGGCAATATAGATAAAAATAAAAAATCTGGGGAGCTAGCATTCCATAAGTCCATATTCGTTAGCTCTTAATATTCCTATTGTAGCTCACCTTAAACCTTTATAGCATTGTGTCTTTTTCCAGTGAACTGAATACAAACGTTTTTTAAAAATGCATTTAAATAAGCATATGGATCTTTTAAATAAAGAATACAGGTTATCCACCCTTATCTCAAGAAAAGATTGTGGAATGTGAAGTAGCTCAAATTACATTTTTGCTTTTTTAGAGGCATGATATGCACCTTGAGAGTAATCCACAAGTTGATTTTTCCATGCACAATAATTGTTGTAAAGAACCCATACAGAATGGAAGGACAAGGAAATAATTTTTAACACAACTGCTCAAACAATTAAAAGGCAACTTTCCCATCCCTAATTATGAGTGTTTCCATACACCTCAAGAAGACATGAATAGAATTAAAACAATGTACGATTATATTTTCCCATTTTGTTACAACCATAGCCATACAATAATGAAACACACACACCCTCCATATCTTCCCTCTTCATCATTTCTTCTGATCCTAATATAGTGCACTCCTAAACTTCCACTAATTGGAGAAGGGAAAAATACAAGACTCTGCAATTCTGCTTGGAAAATAGTAAACAGCATTGGAAGAGAAATCAGTATCAAGCAAACTGTCACTGCTCTGTAGATTCCCTCAGGTTTAATCTGATTTTCCTTCAGATAAAAAGAAAACTACAGAATGAACACAAAAACCAGGCTAAAGGGAACTCTGGGTAAATTTCTCTGACCTGACTACCACAGGAGGCTCTGTTCTATCTCCCAAATATTCCAAATTGATATGTGCTAAGAGGGACAGCAGCATTTAGAAAAATCTCATGGAGCATGTAAAATGGCATCTCCTCTGCTCCCACTCACATTATAGTGGAAAACACAGCCATACATTTCTTTTGGTCAAAGTAGAAAAATATACAGTATATTAACAAATTTGAGACAAAAACAGGAATATGTAACTGAGATAACCTTTCTTTCAAGGTGTAAATCAATCTTCCCATTTTTTAAAACTTAAGTGTGCCACTCTTTGAAAAGAGCATTAGACACATGATTTAAAGCAGGTTTAATGCTCTTCCAGAAAAATACTAGACACAGATTTATATAAGGAGCTTGCATAATTAAAAGAAGTCCTGTGGTGAGATGGGTGGCAAATAAATTTAATAATAAATAATACCCATATGGTTCTTTGTGAAGCCAGTGGGTATGTATCATTTATATAGTTGCCCACTTCACATAGTGACACTATCTTTTATACAGCCTGCCCCAAATAGTTTTGAATAACTATGCCAAGTGATTTGAAGGAGAGGGCATAATCAGCAACATCGAAAAGAGATCAGTGTGCCAGCATTGTAAATCAGGTGTTTCAGGACATTCTGATAACAAGGATTGTGCTGAACAAACAAGAATGCTAAAGATCAGTCCACATGCTTACTGTAAATGAGACATGTATTCCATACATTCATGAAATCCAAGTGTGGTGCAGTCTTTGTGAGATACCTGGAGAAAGGTCTTGCTCAGCGACCTGGAAACAGTTTGATCCTGTTGAGCCTAAGGAAATGTACAAGGTCCTCAGTGCTATCAATGCAACCATTTTTCAATAGAACCCTTGCTCCTCCTGTTTGGTAAAAGTTTCCAGGACAGTGAACAGCAGGTTCATGTAGTGATAAATTTCTCACTGCAAGAGGAGATATTCCCAACATCTTTTGGTTTGCCCTTTCCTAAAAAAATGATTCCTCTTGCCTGGACAATTTTTGTCCATTCTCCCATCTTTCTTTTTTAGGGAATGTGATAGAAAAAGTAGTTGTTCAGCAGCTTCGGAAGGTCCTGGATGAAACAGATTTCCTAAACCGCTTTCAGTCAGGTTTCAGGCCCAGCTATGGGACAAATCATCCACTGGTCACACTTATGATCTCTGGCAAGAGCAGAATGGTAGTGTAGCCATCTTAGCTCTCCTTGACCTGCCCTACTCATGCCAGCAGAGATGGCCTGTTGAGGATCCCATCATTCAAGAAACTCCAACTGGCAGAATCAAGGAGACGAGTCTTTGCTGTTGTAGTGCTGGTGCAAGATAAGGCTTGCCGCCATCCTCCTATCCTCCTGCTAAGATCTCAAGACCTGGTTCTGCTGTTTGGCCTAGGGACCCAATAAGAAAATACCACACTGGATGTGGCTGCTGGACTAATTAGTTGATCCCATTCCCCCACTTCATGCTTCCTACCCTCCCTCCCCCCATCTTTTAATTCATGTTATTGTGTTTTCATTGTTTATTTTTATTGTTTCATTGCTTTGCTATTGTTATGTTTGCATTTTTTATCTTTCCATCCCCCATCCCATTTTACTGTTGTAAGTTGCCTAGAGGAGCCCCACAGCGAAATGGGCGGCAAGTAAATTTAACAAATAAATAAAAATAATAATAAATTCTAAAAATGATTAGTCAGGTTTCTTTGTTTCATGATTTGTAGAAAATACATGGATCAACTGAGCCTTGATTCAGTGATCTAACTGCTGTGAAGAGTTATAAGGTAGGGCATTCCTGTACTTTCTGTGTCTTGCATATATACAACAAACATCATTATAAATAATTTATACTTACCTATTAACCTTTGTGTCTTACTAGATGATACAAGAAAATAAAGCCTTACTAACACTAGAATAAAGTCTGAAGGTTGTCTGAAGTTGTTTGAAGGTTGAATCATTGCAATTGGATTAATTTTTTGTTGTTAGTTTAAGAGAAGTTTCACTGCCCATCCAGGCAGCTTGCTCAGTCAGATCAAGGCAGTTAGGCAGAGAGTCATTGCAATGTACCAACTCTACCTGGATGATTGAGAATTGAGGTTGGTGTGGCAGGAATTGGTACATTCTAACAACTCTCTGCCTAACTGCCTTGATCTGACTGAGGAAGCTGCCTGGATTGCAGTGAAACTTCACTTAAACTACTGTAACAACAAAAATTAAACCAGTTGCAATGATTCAACCTTCAAACAACCTTCAGACAACTCTACCTAGATGATTGAGAATCTTCACTGATACTAGAATAAAGTCTTCTGTAGATGACATTCTGTGGAGAGCCATAAGGAATGCGGGGGAAGGGGATGAGGATACTAAATGTGACACATCACATTATTTACTGACTTGGTCATCATCTTAATGATTCATCTTTAGTTTATATCATAGGTACAATTACTTTCTTACCAACATAGTTATTGGACCTTATGGGTGGGTCATGCATGGAAATTTACCACTAGTTGACAGCTCATAAACTTTATAACATTTGCTATCAGGATTTAGACATAGGGGGTGCTATTTGCTTTGCATATATTTTACTCTTAAGTCTATACTTTAAATTGAATTGCTAATTTCCTTACTGGAATTTGGTGGACTTTGATTGTGGTGCAAAGAAATCACTTGCTTATTTTGAATGTATGTGATATGTGTGTGGTAGCCTCAGATCCCTCCCTCCCCCCCTCTCCCTCCCTCCCTCCTTCCCTCTCTCTCTCTCATTTCTACTGACAATATCCCCTTTGGTTCAGCCATCATATATGGCAAGAGCAATGTGTTTACTTCCTTGCTGCACCTAAATAAAGGAATACTTTATACAAACAGTTAAATGTTCCCAACCTTCTGGGAATGCTACCCAAATACCATAGTTCCAAACCACAGTATTTGCCACACTTCACCTTAGGCTACCTTCTTCACCATAATTTCCTTCATCTTGAGCACTATGGACAAAAATCAGGATGGTACGTAAAGGGCATAGAGAATAGCTTTGAAGGACAGGAAGAAGAGATGATAAAAGTTCAAGGAGCTCAGGCCAAGGAAATAAGATGAACACAGCAAACATCTTGGACAAGCCTCCATCCCACCGTTCACAAATATAAAGTGAGAAAGGGAAAGCACATTCAGAGCTGCAATAGCTGTTACAATAAAAAGTAGTCCTGACCTACAGCACATGGCATTGCTTTCTTAGTCTGCTTTGCCTTGTTGTGCTGACATGCTCCAATCATGTTTGCTTCAATTCTCAACATTTATCAATCTGGTGAGGATTGGACCGCAACGATAACTGGAGGGTAATCCGTTTGTTGCATTTCGTATATTGAACTGACTTTTAACACCCAACTTCTTCCCAATCACTAATGGAAAAGTGTTTCAAGAGTTCAGTCTGGATGCTCTACTTACAGGAATTTTCCATGACTCTTCATTTCCCCAGAGTTGCTCTGGGAAGAGCAGTCTCTTAAGCAGAAGGTATTCTTCCTGTGGGGCACTGGCAGATAGAGGTCTGGACATTAGTGAGATTTGGTCTCCGTCTATGGCCTACCCTCACTCTTACTTGTGTAGAGACTGGAGGAGAAAGATTTTGAAACATTTCAGATTAACTATGCACCAATTGGACAAGAAAGAGTGTGACCAGGGAAAACAATGCTCAATGTAATCAGATACCTGTGTAATTAATTATTTTTCTAAGATGCAGATCAACATATTAGTAGTGCAGAAATATCATTCTTCACCCAGAGAAGCAAAATACTTGATGCTGAATTGTAAGATATGGACATCAGATGTTGAATAATATGAAGACAAGTAAAAAAAAAGGTTATATGTGTGTAATAATAAAGGAGAATGGGATATTCCTTCTGTATTAATATTAGTATTTTTTCTTATTAAGATTCTTACCTGTAATCCTGTGCTAAATGTCCCAAAGACATCATAATGTCTTTGGATTTGGGAAATTGATATTTTCAGTAGCTGCATCCAAATTAACTAATCCTCTCAAGGCAGAAACCTACTGTCCAAATGTGTTAATAGTGTGGCTGCATGGTAAATTCTTCCTACTGTATAGTAAGTAAGACTAGTAAGTAAGTAAGTCTTAACTCTAGAGAAACCTTTTAGCTTAGTTTCTTTGAATGTTTTTTAATGCTTCTCAATTTATATGCCCTATTTTTATAATTTTTTCCCCATAAAATCATACAGTTGGAAAGGGCCTGAGAAGTCATGTAGTTCAACTCACTTTCAGTGTAAGATCCGGTACAGCTTATCTGACAAAAGACTATCCTGCTTCTGTTGAAGACATCTAGTGAATAACTCATCACATCTGTGGCAAGCAGTTTCCACTAATTGACAGTGTATAGTCAGGATGTCTCTTCTGAACCTTCTCTTTGTAGTGATAACTTAATGGTTTTGATCTTGTTCTCTGAGGCAACAAAGAATACCTTTATTCACTCTGGTATACCAGATAACTTGAAGAGTTATAGCTCTCATTAGGCATCTTTTCTGTACACAGATTGAAGATTCTTCTCAGTGCTTGGTTTCTTCTGAATTTACTCCAATTTGATACTGTCCTTTTAGCTATGGTGCCTAGAACTGCAATACTATACTCCAAAGGGATCTGAACAAGACAAAATTTACTGGAAAAATTACTTCCTGTAATCTGGATCCTATGTTCTTGTTATTGCACCCCCAAATAATATTTGCCTTTTTAGTAACTCTATCATACTCTCCCTCTCACACACATACCTTACATATTTCCTTTTAATGTGTGAAACTTGACATTTTTCCTGTTAAATTCCATTCTATTTATTTAAGTCCACTGCTCAGGCCAGTCTTGATTTTTTTGGACATTATATTTTGCATCTGATATATGAGCCTTTCAATCTTACATGATCTGCAAATCTAGAAAAAGCAAAGCAAAGCACAGGACCCAGGGCAGAGAATTGTGGTGATCCACTTAATAATTCCTTCCAAGTTTAAGTAGAGCCAGTAGTGAATCAAGTGTGATTCTATCTAAGTAGTGTCATATTTTACTATTGTCTTAGCAAAAATATAAGGCACTCTGTTGAAGGTTTGGCTGAAGATCAGATATTCTGTGTCTATTTATTATACTATTGTTACTTTTTTCAGTAAATTCTTAAATATATGGAAGTCTGTCAGATTATAAAATCAACCTCAAGAAGGGGAAGATTGTAATGACTTACCAAACAAAAGCAATAAAGTTGATTGGGGGAGCTGGAGGCCAAAACTCATGAAGAATGGTTGCTGGAATTAGGTGTGTCTAGTCCTATGAAGAGAAGGACTAGGAGTAACATAATAGCAGTCTTCCAATATCTAAGGGGCTGCCCCGAAGAAAAGGAATCAATCTATTCTTCAAAGCACTTGAAGGCAGGACAAGGAGCAATAGTGGAAGCTGATCAACGAGAAATTCAACTTAGAATTAAGGCATAATTTTTGAAACAAAACAGCTGAAGTCATAACGATGAAAGCAAAATCGTCCCCCAGGTTCTGTCTATTTTGAGCAGGAGAAAGACATCACAACCCTTGCAGAAAAGGGAGCTTTTACTCATCTCACCCCTTTCCTTGCCTACCTTTGGGTGCCTACTGGATCAGGGACAACATTTCAAATTTCCAAGCATCCCATTTTATCTTAATTTTCTCTCAACTATTTAGTATTCCACATTCTTCCCATAATCTGTTCCCATTGCTACTTTGAATACATTACTCTTCATTGAAGATTGGCCTTATAAAGAGAAACCCCAGTTGTTATAAATCATATAGAAAGCAAATAAGGGAATAATGCTGAGGGAATCTTCCTTGACAGAATTGAATAGTTTACAACAGTATTTCTCAACCGTGGCAACTTTAAGGTGTAAGTTGCCAAGATAGAGAAAAACTAAACTGGTTGTAAAACCTTGCTTGTTCGGTAAGAAACAATAGAATATCCCTATAAGTCTGACTAGCAGATACCCATAACAGGAGAAGTTTCCATTGCAATTAATATTATTGTACACAGCCTTTGTAGAAATTAATCTTGGAGATGAAAAAGCCTTCAATTAATAGAAGTCTTTTATTTCCATACAAGTTCCTACATAAAAGGTTTAAATTAGCAGAATGATCCTTTTTTAAAACCCTTCAGAGATTTCCATCAGGTAAAACTTTCCCTTTTAGTTCCTTTTTGATATTTTAACCCAATATAGTATGAAAGGCAAAACATTCTCTCTTACTAATGGAGGATAAGCACCTGGTGGCTAGGGAACTTAATTTGGACTTAATTCTAATTTTCAAAATGCCATCCATTTCTTATTGTAGTGCATGATATCGGTTGCTTTAAGATACACATTCACACTGTGCTTCCTCATTCCTCTTCCACCTGGTGGGTGGATGTTTTGTCTCTTGGTTTTGTTTCAACCGGTCATATTCAGGTTCTGGATTTGACATGAGAAAATGTAGTGTTGAACACCGGCTTAATAGAGACTTGAATTCCATGGACCTTCCTACTTTCTAACCTTCAGGTAAACTTCAGCACCCAAGGAGCTCACAGTGAGTATAAATGAGCAGGCTAATCTAGAGAAGAATTCTATCTTTATTATGCAGCATGATGAAAATGTTAAAGAAGATGCCTCTAACTATTCACAGCTGGAGATTAGATTAAGAGATGAAATGTTGGCCCTCAGCAAAAGGATTCTTCCTGTTATTGAATTACATCACTTTCCATCCATCTTTGAATCAGCTGCATAGCACTGAAAGTTGCTGTCCCACTTTACTTGACTCTCTAGCCTCAATTGTTTGTCATGCATAGTCACTTGACTTTCCTCCAAAGTAAGGAGTGACAAAGTCTAACTATATTTTAGTTCTTGAGGTGGTTTTTTGAACAGTATCAGGATAAAGGGGGAAAAACCACTAAGTTTGTCTCACTCATGGGCTGGGGAGAAGATGAAAGCAGATAGAAAATGTTTCAAGACATGCATATATGGTACTTAGGCACCAGTGGCATCATGGTAATAGTCTCTGATCTGATTATTGTTGGCTATAACTTACTTAGCCCTCAGCCACAATAGCTAGCAAAGTTTTATAATTTCTTCCTATTGGGGGGTTATTTATAAAATCTCCAAATGTTATAATCCCTATAAATTAGTTGATGTAAAGAGAAAAAAAATATTCCACTCCATCCTTTTTGACAGTTAGAAAAATAATTTATAAATGTCCCTTTTTTCCATTTATCTAACCAGGTAAATTATGTGAATAAAAGCTTATTGGAAAATTGGATAATCTTTAAAATGGCACAAAATTCTTTGCCCTTCTTCAAAAGTGAAAGGTAGTAGGGAAATAAATCATCAATTTTGGAACTTGTCTACTTTCTAGTTTTTCAGGGGAACCATTACTAATTGTTCACAAAATAACAGATGACAGCATTTTTCACAGGGGATTTTAATGAGGCAGAATTCCCATTTTTATTTAAAACCCTACATGATGCTATCTTGTATGTGTAAGACAGGAAGAAAGGTAAATTAAAGTGAAAAGGCCTAAACATATTCAACAAGAAATCCTCTTATGTCTCTGGAGTGTCAGAATCTATCATAAACACAATTTAGTCATATGAGTCACATTCCCCTACGCCAACTGAATGTGACAAGAGCACCAGTTAAGTGTTTTAATGGCTGGTTGCTTAAGGAAAACATAAAAACAAGTTCTTCCAGATATGCCAACAAACTTTGTCCAGCTTCCCAAACCTACTATTTTCTTTGCATGATACAGACATGAACAATCTCAAGCTCCAGGCTCACATGTTCACACTCAGGTTCACACTCAGATGCCTTTAATGCAGAACCAAAACCCCATCTGTCCAGGCACTTTAGTTATTCAGCAAATTTAAAATGTAATAAATTTGCACCTTTAGCTTACCTATAAAATTATTAAACTTTTTTTTATAAATACTTGTATTTAATCACTTTTTGCCTTTTTATGAAAGTGATAAAAGGCATCTGGAAATAGCTTTTTAAACATGATTCACCAAGTCTTAATAAGTTAGTATTACACACAGTAGCACTGTTTTTATGACATAGCAATCACACTTCCTCCATAATATAAGTATCAGAAAAAAATCTCATTTGATTTCCCTACTTTATTTGCACAATAATTTGTATAAAGCCTGAATTTCATGGAATTTTCAAATAAGGTTTTTAAATGCATACATTGATTTTAAAAGGTTCTTTCTATAAATGGGACATGAGCAACAGTATGTTGGCTTACATGACTAATTTAGACATTTTAGCTCATACAGAATGAGTATGCTTGGATTGTGTTTATGGCATAATGGCCCAAAGCGGGTAAAACAGATGAGCTCATGTCATTCACTGGCAGAGAATGCTTTGTATGAGATAGGTCAAAATAAAGTTGCTACTCTTTCACTGTCCCATTTAAAGTTGCATGAAAATGTTTTGTTTATTTATTTTATTTGGTTTGTCAATTACTTACAAGATAGTAGGTATAAGTAAAAACATAGTTATGAATACATGGATACATATAAGAAGTTGATTGACTAAAGCCATGATGGGAGGTAGAAATCAATATTT